GTTGGTGATCTGAGCATCTCCCCGATCAGAAACAATCAGCTTGTCCATTCCCCTCGGACCGAGGGTGCTGGACAAAGTTTCTGCAATCGCAAGACATGCTGCGATGTTGGAAAGCAGCTGGGGGTTTCCCTGCGAGGTGTCCGTGCCCTCCCGGAGGAGGACAACAGTGGGTTGCTGCAAAATATTTTAGTGATACTCAGGGGAAACCGGGGAGTAATCCGCACCATTGGAAGACCGCGCTGCATTTTTGAAGAAAGTAAAGGACCCTAGACTTTGCTGGTGTTTGGCAAAAGCTTCAGAGGGTGATGCGTGAGTGTGACGTCACGCGACTTGCGCCCAATTTGACGCGTTCACCATGTCTGACTCTGAAATGACTGCCCAGGATCGCCCTCCATTATTTTTTGCGGGCTCAGACGATGAAGAAGAGGATGTGTTCATGGAGCCACTGGACGGGCCCTCCAGCTCTCGAGCTTCATCAAGAGCTTCGTCGCGTCTGTTCTCCGAGTCTGTGGATGGCAGTGATGGCGAAAAGGATCCAGGGGATGCGGAGGGAACCGCTGGTCCTCAAAAGCGACCCATTCATGTGGACGACGATTCTGATTCCGATATCCAGAGCGTGCCACCACCACGAACCGCGGCCACGGTAGAGAACGCCTCTGCGACCGGGTCTAAAGCTGGGCCATCTCGCAAAGGCCACCAACAAACGTCCGCTCCGCCGACCAAAAAACGCCGCATATCCTCTCCCACTCCGTCAAAATTTCCTCCAACCTTCATAGGTGATATGGTCTTTGCGCATGCGTGGAGCAATGTCTCTGGAAAGGGTTATATTAAGATCAACGAGGAAGTTAAAATCATGCGGGAGCCTCAGGAGTCGAAGAGAAGTGGAGCTGAGACGAAGAGCAAGAAAACAGGAGATGGCAACAAACAGATGTCGCTTACCGCTATGCTTAAGCAACCCGCCAAGACCTCAAAGAATAAAAAGACTGACAACATTGTGCGCCTATATAACTCACGCGGCTTTGGTACGTTGATTCAACTTGCAAAGATGAATTGTTCGCTCATAATTGTGAAGAATTCGGACGCCTTCCTCAAGATGTGTCATCCTGGATGGCCAAACTTCTGGATCTCGGTAAGTCTAATGAGAGTTGCGAAATAAACATCTGAAATCGTGTAGGTATCGTCGAATTTCGAGGGAAAATGTTGGACTGTCCAGAGAAGCTGTCGACGGGGGCAACTCTGATTATAACGGCGGATGTCTACATGCTATCGACCGCATTCAAAGCTTCAAAGCTCGATGCGGACAATCAACCAACTGTAATGTTCTCCGAAGGCGCAGAAACACTCGACGAACAAATGTTGCGCGAAAGAAAGGCCTCCATTCTAAAGCTGTTTGATGTTCTCAACCTGCGGCCTCAGGCCGGCGCCAACTTCACCGGTCGCAAGTCCGACGAACAGATTCACGAAGAAGCAATGAAGAAAATAGCGCAACGGAAGTCGAAGAAGGTGACAGAGATTGTAGGCGACGGCGAGGAGATTGAGGTGGAAGATGGAGAAGAGCTGACTGAGAACGATCTCGATATGATCTACCAGAAAGCCCAGAAGAGTGATCGAACCATGGGGGAGATGGAGCCTCCGAGCACTTTCACTTTCACACTTCGCGGGTACCAGAAGCAAGCACTCTTGTCCGTCGCATTGCCGCTGGTTCTCCGTGTCGCTAAGGTCTAACCGAGTGACAGATGGATGCATTCGCTTGAATTGGGGAAGATGGATGCGCGTGAGGCCGCGTCCATGCACCCACTGTGGAGCCAGTGAGTGTCGACCATTAATGGGATTCCATGGTTTCACATCGCTCCAGATACTCGTTCCCACACCCTCGTGACGGAGGAGTCATCGATTTAACTGCCGATGAAAACCCATTTTATTTCAATCCGTACTCCGGTGAACTCAGCTTAGACTTTCCGAAGGCAGAGAGAAAGGGCAGGGGCGGGATTCTCGCGTTCGTCGTTTTATTATTGTGTTTTGCCGCGGCGCTAATTCTTTCCGTAGTGACGGTAAAGTCCTGTTTATACTCCGCCATTTGTTCTGAAATCCATAATCTTTTAATTATGACAGAGAGTAAGGAAATCACTCACCTTATTGTTTTCCGCACTAACATGTTTTTCCAGTGGGAAGTAAGGACGTTTCTACATTACTCTTTTTTCTTTTAGAAACTGAGGTATTCGTCAGTGGGAAAAACCATTGAACTAGCAGCACTCATCCATACCAACTGCGCACCTGATACTGAACGTCCGGTGGAGGAACCAGCGCCCGGGCCTAAGCAACGCCAATTAAAACTGAATAATGCCTTCAAGAAGGTGGCCCGTCGTAAATCCCAACCCGCCCCGTCCGCGACATTGATCGTTGCCCCTACATCGCTGCTATCTCAATGGGAGGGAGAATTGCAGCGTTGCAGTAAACCCGGGACCCTCAAAGTTATTTTATGGCATGGGCAGAACCGGCTCGACTTGGAGGACATCGTAGAGGACGACGAAGACGAAAAGGCGATCAAGGTTGTCATCACGTCGTATGGCGTTCTAGCCTCCGAACATGCGAAGTCCGAAAAGTCGAGCTCAAAGTCCCCTGTCTTCGAGAGCAAGTACTGTCATCGGTTCAGGGGTTGATACTAAACTGATTCTAGTCGAATGGCTTCGCGTCGTGCTCGATGAGGCGCATTCGTGCAAGTCACGTTCCAGCAAGACAGCTAAAGCTGTTTATGCGCTTCAAGCCAGGAGGCGATGGGCTGTAACAGGTATTTTGTTCGTGAGATTGAGAGCGCCGAAGGCTGAGATTCATTAGGGACGCCGATTGTCAACAAACTAGAAGATTTATACTCGCTGTTGTTAGTAGTGCATCATAAGGCCCGAACCCTTTCTGACAAAACCTTAGGAAATTCCTCGACTTCCAGCCATGGTCCGACTTTTCATTCTTCCGCTCGTATGCCCTTAAATTTTTTCTTCATTTACACCCACTTACTGAATACGCAGCTTTATCACCTTGCCGTTCTTGGCCCGGGATCCCAAGGCGATAGAAATAGTCCAGATCATCCTCGAGTCGATCCTATTAAGACGAGAGAAAACTATGCTGGACACGAACGGTAAACGGATAGTCGAGCTGCCCCAGAAAGAGGTACGCAGGACTGTTCTAGCACACAGGTGGTTGACGCTAACATTCCTGCAGGTTACCGTGGAGTATCTCGAGTTCTCCTCCTTGGAGAGAAAGATATACAATAGCTTATTCAATTCTGCCAAGCGTGACTTTCAGCAATTAGATGCGAAAGGCTTAATCGGCAAGAACTACACTCATATATTGGCGATGCTCATGCGGTGCGTCGCTTCCTGTCGATGCTGCGTACCAGGATTCTAAGAACTGGGCAGGCTGCGGCGCGCTGTGCTTCATCCTAATCTCGTGCTCTCCTCTGACGACGAGCGTTTGCTGCCAAAAGACGGCGAAGGGACTATGGACGTGAATGAACTCATCAAGCGTTTTGCAAACGACGAACAAGCGGGGGAGAGTGGTGTCAACCTGTTTGCTCAGAACGCTCTCAAGGACCTTCAGCTGGATGAGGCTGATGCGGAGTGCCCCATGTGCATGGACGTCATGCAATTTCCTATGATTATCCCCGAGTGCATGCATCGCTGGTACGCCCACTGGCGCCCCGATAAACTGGCAACTAACCATGTCCACTGTAGCTGCAAGGACTGTATTGTCACGTATTGCGCCAGCACCGAAGAGCGTGGGGAGGAACCCCGGTGTCCCACTTGTTTGCGTGGGCCGTTCAAGGTCAGTTTCTTGCTATGCACATTCCTCGACCCTTTTAACATCCGGTGCGGCAGGAAAACGACCTCATTGAGGTTTTCCGGCCGCCGAAGAGCTCTCAGGATCCGCAGCCCGATGTGATTCTAAGGAAGAACGATTTCCACTCCTCAACCAAGCTCGATGCCCTCGTCCAGAATCTCCGTGAGTATTGTCTGGCACCGACGACGACTGGCCCTTATGCCATGTTTAGGCAAATTGCGCGAACAAGACCCCTGTTTCCGCGCCGTCGTGTTCTCCCAGTTTACGTCCTTTTTGGATCTGATACAGGTCGTACTGAAGCGGGAGCGCTTTGAGCAGTATCGATTCGATGGCTCTATGGATGTGAAGAAGAGGGCTCTGGCCCTCGACGAGTTCAGAGCTCCGACCCGAAAACCAAAGGTCTTGGTTGTGAGCTTGAAGGCCGGTGGAGTGGGCTTGAACGTGAGTCTTGCCAGTCAAGGGATTCACTTCGACTCACAATGCATTAGTTGACTACCGCCAACCATGTATTCATGGTGAGTCTCTTCCATTCCGCCTAGCATAAGCCTGACCAAGCGTTCCAAGATGGACTGCTGGTGGAACGCTGCGACAGAGAATCAAGGCAAGTTGTTTTCCAAGTCTCCTGAGCCGGCTTGACATCAATCCAAGCCATCGACCGCGTTCACCGGATTGGCCAAGAGAAGACGGTCTATGTGAAACACTTTATTGTGAGTTCCGTGTACTTTTGTCTCCGTAGCCTTTGTTTGACCAACAGCAGGTGTCGAACACGATCGAGGGTCGGATTGTGAAGATCCAGAAGCGGAAGACGGCGATCGTGAAGGAGGCGTTCCGCGGTGGCGGCGGTAGTGGGGGGACGGACCCGGAGAGCATCGAGAACCTGAAGATCATGTTTGGAGAGGAGGCCGACGATGCCTAGTTAGAAGTACATGTACTAAATTCGTGAACAAAGACGCTGCTGGTGGATCTGGGAGGCCAAGGGACGTTCTGTGATTTTGTGGTACCGTTGGTGAGGGGCGTAGGTGATTCAAGGAGTTGCAGGACATGTCAAGGTGTTAAGGCGTCCCAGATATATAAAGCTGGCAGTAATTATAAGAGATATTGTGTACTTTTCGGGTACTGACTGCGAGGGCGTAAGGTGACTGAACAAGTAGCAGCATGTTCAAAGCGGTGAGATGGCCGAGCGGTCTAAGGCGCCAGACTAAGGATCAGCTTCATCTGAAGCCGAATTTGCAGAGCAATCTGTAATCTGGTCCTCCGGGGCGTGGGTTCGAATCCCACTCTCATCAGCTTTTTTGCTCTCTGGGACAGCATTTACTTTTTTATTTATTTTGGCTCTTGGGGAATCCGTTTTACATTCCCTTTATTCGAATTCATATGCACCCTTGGTACTACCTGTATCAGTTTCCTGGATAACCATACCTAGGATAGTATTGATACAGTGTAAACATTTACTGCTCTCAGGCTCAAGTTCACCCGCACACTGGATTTATTTTTAAAGGCTAGTAGGAGCGCTGAGCACCCAATTATAGTCGAGATTTAATGGCCACAGGCTCACCCTCGCCGGACCTTCGGTCGGCTCGAGTGAGCCGGCGGGAACTGGATAAAGCTCAGAGAATACCGGAACAAGGCCTTGATTGTAAATTTGGGTACATTTATTGAACGGCCAAGTTATAATGGATACCCAAACTATACCTAGTCGGTAGTCTATACCCCTATAGCAGTGTCGGGTCACGGACCGACGGACCGACACCATCGAGTTTTTGCATAATCGAGGTGAGACTTGTCACCTAAGTCGGTACCGGGAATTAATCTTCAGTGCACAAGAGGGACTGGTTGCACGCTACCGAAATGCTTCAAAAACACTGAATTCCCATATATGAACGAAGGCGTAGTGCTGTTGTTGACTGTTTGTCTCCTGTCAATTTGTGTTGCACAAACTGTTGCGAGTTGTCGCGCGTTCGTCTCAGATCCTTCTGACTACTCCGGACGAATTTATGTGTGCTACCGCTTGGACATCCCCTGAGTGATAGTGTTCATGAGTTATCTCGGTCCGACACATCGTCATCGTCATGGATACCGTGGACCATGGAATCAAATAACCTGATCAAAAATCGTCTAAACCTACTTGGCTACTTTCATTGTTGGGATTCAAGTTGCGGAGACAACAGTCGGATTTAATCCAAGAAAGGATGGTGACAGTCGTCGACGATCAATCGACGATGGAGGAATTTGAACATCGGCTGAGTAGCTGGTCATGCCTATAGGGCCTAAAGGGCTTGGGAAGATGATTATTGGACCGAACGAGGGGGAGTTCTAATTTCTTTTGATAAATTTGGAAGCCTCAGTTAATCAATTTCTCTTGGAGAAATTTTGGAAGTCTCTCTGGCAGTTTATAATTTGATTGTGGCGTTTTTATGAACTTCTCTCCAAGTTGAATTCGCTTATCGGAAGGGGGCCTTCATTTTGCCAAAGATTGAGGAGGCAGCATGGCATTAATTTCTGGCACGAAGTCGGCGCTCGCCGAAACAAGACGCCATCCAAATCCGGACCGGACGGATCGGGTCTTGGTTGACGGCGGACGCCCACTCGAGGATCTGCGCACCGTTTCTCGTTGATCGTCGCAGTATCGTCGCGTGGTCGTGCGTACCTACCCCGACGACCGACCGGTCCGACCCCATGCAATGGCAACGTGGGGGTGCACAGCAAGAATCTGCAGAAGGAGAACGCGAGGTACCGGTCAGAGAGACGACCGAAGCGATAGCTTTGTGGCTCTAGCGCTAGCTTATCAATATTGAATTAGCGTGAACGGCCGGCCGGCCGGGGAAGCATACTAAGTAGGACTACAGCACGGATGTGGGTTGGGACTCGGGTCGGGCGGAGTAGACTGTACTAGAATAAATAATATGTACTACATAATGCGAAATGAAACCAAGAATAGATACAGCGTGTGGATGGATTCAGTCCGTCATGGTACACCCTAAGACAAAACCAATTGAGCGTGGGCGTCAGGCGGGAAGATTCAATTACCTCGTAGTTCCCGACATTGAAACTGCGAGAAATCAAAGTAAGAACCAATGAAACGCGCGCGAGAACGATCTGCTCACTGCACGTGGTCGCCCTCGCCGAGGGTGAGGCGCACAGGGAGGCGGGGGTCGATGCGCACCGGTGCACTGTTGCCCACAAAAAAGTCGCCGCGGCTGAAGTTGCGGGTGATCGCGGCTGTCTCCTCTTCTGTGAGAGTGCGCGGGCGCTTCGCAGGACGAAAGGTTGACGATGACGCGCCAGTGAAGGTGCCATTGTAGTCGTAGTACTGCTGGTGGTTAAGCGTGAGGCCACCCCCCTGCGACGCGGCATAGACCGGCGGCGGGACAAATGTCGCGCCTGTTGCAGAAGCAGAAGCGGAATCTGGGGAGGTTGGTAAATAATACTTTAATCGGTGTAATGTGCAGACATGCCTGGGGCTGCGGCACGGTCATGCTGCTGCTCCGTCTCTGGATCAGGGTACGCGCAGACGTTGCCGAGTCCGCGTTTGAGACAGTTCTTTACCAGAATTATTTCTGAATGCATAAAATAACCATTGTGGACCTGCCTGGCAAGGAAGAACCTCGCTGCATCGTGTTTTTCCAGCGTGACAAGCAGTGCAAGCGCGACGGACTGAAGGAGCTTTCGCTGCAATTTTATTGAATCCGCAGCAAGAAAGATTGGGAGATTTTGCACGCACGCTTGCGAGTAGGCGCTTCGCCTGGTGACTGGGAGGGCGCCTGCTGGACCTGCTGGATCTGATGCTGGTGTTGAGGGTGCTGAGGATGCTGAGGGTGCTGAGGATGTTGAGGATGTTGGGGCTGGCCACCACCGTCGGCTATTATTTGGGGGTCTTCGGCATGAGCGGACATCTCGACCGGGCGGGCGGGGAGACGGAGAGATGCGTGACTGTGCCGGGTGACAGTCACAGGGCTTCCCATCTTTTGATGGGATCGAAGTGATGTGATGGGGGCGATCACCGGCTCATTGGCCCTGAGCCGGTGATTGCTATGTTGGGAGCAACCTCCGTATATATCTTCCATGCTGCTCGAACAGGTGCACACCTTGCCCCATGCCTAGTATGTCTCCCTCATCTCCCTTCCCCGACTTTGACTTCAATTTCGATCCTGCCCTCTTCCCAAATCCACCCCCGCTTCCGTCCTCCGCAGACCTCTTTTCTGCTGCAGAGACCACAGATCTCCTCGGATTCCTCGACAACTTTAACGATTTTGGCTGGGAAAATGAACAGCAATCATACACCTCTCCCCGTGCACCGTACTCGAACCCTCATCTGAATACTGCGCCCGAACCATCCACGTCCGGACGCCCCAGACGATCCACGCGCTCTGCAGCTAGCACCCGTGTACCCATACAGCAGCAGCAGCAGCAGCAGCAACAAAAACAAAAACAAAAACAGCAGCAACAACAACAGGAGCAGCATTCGCAGCAGCAAAGACGCGAGTTTTCACAGGTGTCGCAGAGAAGTGACAGCCAGACACCGAGTAACGCGTCCGAGTCGTCCTCGCATAATGCCAACGACCAGTCCACCCCGAGCTCCGGTACCTCCGTGTCCGCACCCCCCTCTGCCCCCGCGCCGGTACCGCGCAGCTCGAAACCCCTCCTTTCGACGCCGCAGAAGCGCCTGAACCACATCATGTCCGAACAGAAACGCCGGAACGCCATCCGAGATGGGTACGCGCAGCTGATCGCGTTGCTGGCGCCGGCCGGATCTGTGCCGGGTCTTGGGATGCCCCAGCGTGGCCGGCCAAAGGGGAGTGGCAGCAGAGACAAGGGTCAGAGCAAAGGGAAGAGCGGCGTACTCTTTCGGGCGGTGGAATACGTCCGATGGCTCGAGGAGGGACGCGATGCACTGAGGGACGAGGTCCTGCGCGTGGAGGCGGCCGCGGGCATTCGCGACGGCGCGAGCAATCACTGAGCAGGTACTTATGTTTGTCTTGTGGTTTGGTGCGTTCTTTTCCCCGTATTCTTCACCTCCAAACGCGTCGCTGACTTTTTTCCTCTCAGATAGCCGAAATATCATTATTCGTAAAATAGTATGACGCCCATTATAATCGCTGTAGACCCTGTATCACCTTGTCTCTACATTGTATGTATCACGCAACGCCCTCAACGCCTACCTATCTTCCACGCGACTCGATACCCTACTTATCCTTCTTTTGGCTGCGTCGGGCGGAGACGTGTCGAGTCTGCCGCCTATGATCCAGGGTTTTTCCATGACTTCTCTTATCGACTTATTCCTGTAGCCCATTAAGAATTCTCGCGTTGGAACAGTTAAACAGTTTCCTTCTCACAGAAGAATAATTAGATCTAAAACATCACACCGACCGGAATCCAAACGGCATCTGGACTGAGGTTTGAGGACGCGTAGGCCGCCGTACATGTGTCTGCCAAGATTGAAACTTATAAATAGAGCCGTGGCCATGGAGGTAAAGGAAAGAAAATTTACACATAGCATTGACGTTTGATCAACGTGCAAGCGTAGGCTTTAGTCTCGCCAGGTCTCGCCCGGTTTCCGGTACTAGCACCTGCTAGTGTATTCGTGCGGTCAGGTAGGATCGATGAAGAAACGGATCAGGAATGAGAATAAATTTTTGTTCCTGTTGGTATAGAAGTTAGAACGCTGGCTTCGGAAAAGTCTGGACTCTGGAATCCCAGTCTTCTTCGTGACATGGGCGCCGTGCAGTAAGTTCGCTCGTCCATGTAAGTGTGTGCACAACTGTCAGTCTTTCAATACTTTTTTATAGCAGGATTGTTGTCGATGGCTCTACCAGCGGCGAGAAGAGAGTTCTGAGATAGGGGCTTGCATGAAATCACATGCGAAAATTGGGTTTCCTAAAGCGGAAAGCCGATCTGCTACTCGATGCCGCCTACTCCTCCGCCAACCGACTCGAAGTGGCCGCTGCCCAAGCTCAACATCCGAGTCGAGGACCTAGCTCACCCTGGAGCCGTTCTCTTCTTCGACAATGTAAACCCCCTGGTCGCTCTCCGTGCTGCCGTCCTCGCCAGCTTCGAATGGCTGTATGCAAAGCCTGCGGCTGCACCGACCAAGTCAGTCCCATTTACTCTACCTTTCATTAAATCTACTTATCTGTGTACCTGATCCTTTTTTATAGCGTAAAATCAATCCTACTGGTGCTACGACCCATGGAGGGCGTTGCATACACCTTCGGCTCACATACGGAGAAGGAAATCCACTTCTCGCTTGACCACATCGTGAACAGCGCTTCTCGCGCGCGCGATGAGA